CCGTGGGCATCTTTTTAATTTCACTTTTAAGCCCAGACTACAGTGTGTTGGTAATTTAGGAGTGGCTAAAACTTACATTAGGCCACATGAAGTGATTTCTATAGCCTATTTCCAGCTCGGAGCTTATTCTAATTTAAAGAAAGCCCTGGTTATCCAGGTAAAAACTGGCTGTGGTGAAACACCAGAATCAGCAGAGTTTATCAGCTCTTACCTGTCCTGATGGAGCAACTGGCGAAATAAGGGTGGAGCAGGCAGGGATGATGACAAGTGGGAATTCTCGGAGTTAATTCTTACCTCCACCTGTGAATCAGAGCCTCGCAGCCAGGGAGTTTCCATGGAAGTTGCCTGGAGACATTTTCATCATTTGGGCTCCTCAAATTCAGGCAAAAGATTGCTTACTCTGAGGAATAAAGATATGAAAGCTGATCCTGATTTGAAGCACTTGGTGTAGTTCAGGCTGAATTTTCCCTCCTGTGTGTAAGGACAGAGTGAAGAGGAGCCAGTTTTGGCTCTTGCTGATGGATTCGTGGGACAAACTCAGATCCAACCTTTGGGGGATCTCAGGAACATTACAGGCATCAGACCTCCTGTGCCAGCTGACAAACACCGACAGCACCCCGCATTTTCAGTTTCCTGAGATTTAAGGCAGATTATTTTACCAGAACTTCCAGTAATTTCCACTCCCTTGATTCCCTGGACTACAACAAGTTCATAACAGGGCTGCGTGTTGGGTGGTTTGATGTGGCTGAAGAAGCTGAGGATTTGCACTTCAGGAGTCCAGCTTTGCTGCTGGACTTCCCAGTTCTTCAGTTTGTAGCAGGATATCAAGAACTTGCTGATATAACCATTTTGGTGTGGTGTTTTAAGAGCAAATAATTAAAATTATTTGGGTAGGGATCGACTCGTGCCCTGCGAGAGTTCAGCACTGCACGTTGAGCATTTTGTGTGAATATGAGGAAGTTATTAAAAGTTCAGTAATATTTCATCGGAAAATTAGCCTGTTCTGCCTTAATTTCCAGCGCTCAGCTTGGCACGTGGCCACTTGTCCATGTCTGTGCCCCGGGGTGCAGTAATTCATCTGTGAGAATTGTCCCAATTTCGGCTCACGCTGGTGCTGCTCGAGGGGGATTTGTGGTTCATGTGGTTCTGCTGTCACTGCACCTGCTGTGCTTCTTTTGCCATGGATTAAATGGCTGTTTTTTCTAAAAAAATTATTATTTAGAGTACACGAATGACATTTTTCACGTGATAAAAACTTTGGGGCCTTTAAACTTTTAACCATAATGGTGTGAATCATTTTAAATAAAATTTCTCATCCAAACCACAGTTCTTAAATTATGGCCGAATCACAGCAATAATAAAACTTAAAAAAAATAGAAAATCTTGAACTTCCTTAAGATTTCAAAACTTCATAAACATGGGGGCTCATTTTCCATGGAATTCCATGTAAATTGGGCTCTCAGAGGGTGATTTATCTCCACAGGTGACTGGTTTGGATGCAGGTGCCCCCAAGGTTTGTAGGATAGGAAGTGGCAGCGCTTCCCCACCAACCACCTTGCATTCCTTTTTCCAGTCTTTTCCAGAAAGATCAGGGGATGGGATGGGATGGAAGCAGAGCTTTCTCTTTCTGGGAATATCACACATTAAGTAAGTTAGGACTACACTTAGGCACTGCTTGCTAAACTGAGTTTAGTCAGGGATGTCACATCCCACTGATGACTCTCTGGCTTAAAAAATGCTGCTGTTTTATTTCAATCTCAACTTTTTAATTCATGTGATAAAAGCACATTAAAATACCTTCGAAATAAGCCTGGTAGATGTGCAGGGGGCACTGGTGGTGACCCTAATCCGTGTTGGTGGGCATGATTATGTATTTCCAGCTAAGGAAAAGGTCCTTGGGAAGCTGTTTTTGAACAGTCTTGGGTAAAGGCTGCCCTGAGGGGCTTCAGGCAGAAAGTTCTGGAAGTTCATGATGGGTAAAATCTGCCTGGAGGGGCTTCAGGGAGAAAGTTCTGGAGGTTCTGACCACATTGATGTGGAGTCACCCCTGGTAATGGATTTGGGAGGTGATCCATGAAATTGGCTGGGAAAGCTTTATGGCAGGATAAATGAGAGCTTTGATGAAATGGAATTAAGAAAATGGGTTTTAAACAAGGGAGGCATGGTGCTGGCCAGCTGAGCCCCCCCCCCCCCCCCCAAAATTTCTCATGACTTAAATTGATGGGGCATTTGTACTTTCAGGGTCAGTGCAGCTGGAACTGGTTCATCCCCTCCATTCCTGCTTTTGTTCTGGTTTCCACTGTTGGATTATTGGTTCTGTTTACTCTTAACACACTCAATTCATTTGGCTTTTTTTTTTTTTGGTGTAAAAACCTCCAGCTCAGCCTGAACTACAATTAGCTGGGCAATAATGGAGCAATTAACTGCAATTAACGTGGAGCAATAATGAAGCAGGAGAAAACAGTTGCCCTGCCAAGGTGCTTTGTGAGGAGCCTGACATGCTCCTCACAGCCGAGCTGTTGCCCACCTGCTGGGCAAACTGGTGTTACTGGGAGCTCCAAAACACGACCCTCCTTCCACCTTCCAACCTGTTTCCATCCTGGCTGAACGGTTTCATCTGCAGGGAAAGGGATTTCAGCGCTGGAGCGGAGTTTCTCCCAAGCTGTGGTGTGGTCTCAAGCTGTCAAAAGTGTTACCTCACCTCCTCTCTCTTTTTAGTTGGGGAGAAAAAAAAAAACTAAAAGAAAGCTTCTGTTCACTGCTGAGTGCCAAAAAATGGCTTGGAGTCTCCTGCTGGAAGCCACTGATTTTGAATATTAAGCAGGTAGAGTTATTCCAGCTTTTCCAGCATCCAGGAGAAGTGCAAAGGGTGGGGAAAAATCTCCAAAGGCTTTTTAGCCTTTAGGTTGTTTTCAGCTGTTGCTTTCCTTCCTGGTGAACACCTCTCACCCAAAACCTTTGAAATTTAGTAAAGCTGAAGAAGTCACTCAAAAAAAAAAAAACCAAACAAACAAAAAGGAATTTTCACTGGAGTGAGGCAGCAGCTGCTGTTTTCCTCCATCTTCCTGCCCCTCCTGCAAAGCCAAACACAGATAACAGGCCCAATAAGGAAAAAAAAAAAAAAGTGCTTTCCACGAATCCCATCGTGGGAGGGCGATGGAAATCCCTCTTCCCGAGCAAAGGAACTTCCTTGTTCTGTTTGCTCTCAGTTAAATGTTTAAATAGCAGTGTTCCATCGGGGTGTGTGCCTCGGAGACAGCAGAGCCAGCCTTTGCATTCCTGTAAAAAAATGCTTCTGCTTGTCCTCCAAAAGGCAGGGCAGTTGGGTTTGATGACAGGGGGAAGAAATCCCCCTTTCCTAGAAATTAAAAAATGAGATGGGAACAGGACTCATGAGGAGATGCCGTGGCATTTACATCATCCTATCATCTAGTTAGCAAGCAGAATTGAGGATAAAATTTGGGAGAGGTTTTTGGTTCAAGCACCAACTTGCTGGGTAAATATTTTGATTTTTTTTCACCTCTGACGTTTGGCTTGCAACTTTTAGTCTATGTTAGCCTATTTTTAGTCTATTTTACGGGCTGCTTCCATAGAAAATGTCACAGGTATTGCCATTTGTCATCTCCTCCAATGCTGTGGGACAACAGGAAGTGTGATTACAGCTTGGCACCTCAGATCTGCAGGACAACAAGTGGGATTAAACTGCCAGGACAGCTGAGATTTTGTCCCTCAGTTGAGCCCAAACCACCCAGTTGTGCCACCAGCACACACAGGTATTTGTTGCCATAATTTGAAGCACATCAGTAGCTTTTTTTTTTTTTTTTTTCCCCTCCAGAGACAGGAGAGGTCTTGGATCCAGTGAGGATGAACATGGCAGTCCCCCCATGGACCCATTTAAGGAGCTCTCAAACCTTGTCCCAGATCATTTATTCCAAAATAATCTGTCTGCCACAGTGCCAGCCCGGCCCACACGCATCCAGGCTATTTATGAATGAACAGAAAACACAGAAGAGCTGAGTCACCAGCACCAGGGTGTTGTTCCAGAAGAATAGAATTTAATTTTTATCTGAAAAAAACTGCATACACACGTTCAGATCTGGTCAACCTTCACAACATGTCTTCGTTTCCAAACAGACTTGTGCTTTTAAGGTGCAGGACCCCACTGCAGCTTGATAAAGAAGTTAAGAGGGTTTTATTTATTTATTTATTTTATATCTTCTAACTGTGCAAACATCATTTGAAAGCTATTTACATTTTGCACCTCTCACTTCTGAGAGCAGCAGCATCAGCTGTTGGAGATGTGCAGCTGTAATTTATGGTTTGGCATTCACATGTGATCCAGGTGTGAGTGTGAAAACCAAACAACCTTTCATTGTTCCAGAAACTCCCCACAGGCAATGGTAATAAATCTAATTTCTTCTTTAGAAAGGAGATCTCTTTAAGCCCTCAGACTTCCCTGCAGGTATTAAAATATTACTTCCACTCTGATTCCTCGGTCATCTTCCCCTGGTGCTGACATGTACTTCGCTGCCTTGGTGAGTGGGAGCAGAAAGAAAACATCTTGGGTGTCATCAAGGAAGGCAGGAGGGCACTGAAACAGAGCCGAGTTCGCTTCTTTCTATCATCTTCACTAACCTGCGAGATTACATACAGTATTAAAAAAAAAATAAAAAACTATTTTAGACCATCTGAACTCAGGTGCAACAACTTAGGCGCAAAAAAGTTGGATTGAAGTTCCTCCTCCTATTGCCTTCTGTTTGAATTTCCTCTCCCATCCTTTGAAAGCTGGAAGTCAATACCCAGCCAGGTCTCAGCACTCAGCTCAGGCTGGATTTACTCATTTCTGTACTCTCATTTACTCATGTTCTGGAGCCTGGGCAGGGAAGCCATGGGGTGTTTTTCCCCCTGCCCCGTGAACTTTGTGCGTGATGAGTGTTGCCCCCCTCAGCCATCGCTGTGCCTGCTGGTTTGCACGTGCCAGAGGGATTCAGTTAGGCTGCTGGAAGTGGTGGAAATCAGGCAGATGTGGCGCTCCAGGTGACGTCGGTGCCTGTGCTGCTTGCAGAGGGGCTGTGCAGGCAGGAGCTCGGAGCCCTCCCGTGCTGCCGCCCAGCTCCGGGAATGAAGCAAAGCCGTGGGTTGTGAGAGAAAACAGCCTTTTCCTAAGTGCCAGGGCGCTTTGGAACAGACACCCAGCGTTCCACCCAGCCTGCTGGGGCAGGCTCAGTTCACCACAGACACGGCGCCGTCGGGCTGGGCCCCGAAAATCTGGGAGAAGAACTCCAGGGCCAGGCGGACGTGGATGGGCACGAAGACGTAGGCCGTGTACACCACCATGGCCACCACGGTCACCGTGATGGTGTGGAACATGGACTGCTCCCAGGGCTCCAGCACGTAGCTGCAGGTCACCAGCAGGTACTGGTAGTACAGCCAGTGGATGTAGTCCTTCACTCGCTTCAAATCCATCTTCAGCTCCCGGCGGCTCGCAGGTGACCTGGAACGACAGGGAGCTCGGGGTTAAACGGCACCGGAAAGGCCTGGCACTCAAACTCAGGCTCTAACTCAGCTTTGATGTCACATGGAATCTTTATCTGGAGTAAATTTCAGGCAGAGGGAGCACGTCAGTGCCGTCAGCAGCCTCTGCTGCCCCCGGGGCACGGCAAACAACGTTGAGCTCTGCAGATGCTTCTTGTGTTTGTCGAAGCTCTGTCACGGGGACAATCTCAATTCCCAGGGAAGCTGTGGCTGCCCCAGCCCTGGAACTGTTCCAGGCCAGGTTGGACGGGGCTTGGAGCAACCTGGGCTGGTGGGAGGTGTCCCTGCCCGTGGCAGGGGGTAGGATTGGATGGGCTTTAAGGTCCCTTCCAACCCAACCCATGCTGTGATTCTGTGAATTCCCACATTCTGACTGTGAATGTGTTTTCCTGTTCATTCTGTTCGAGGAATTAAAGCCACATGAGCCTACAGAGGCAGGAGGATCCCATGGAAATCAGGGAAATAGGCATTTAAAAGGGAAGGCTTTGGGTCAGCTTCCATAAATGTGGATGGCAGACAGATACGCCCTGAGATAAAGATGAGATTAAAAACCTGCTCTGAAACCTCTTCTGCTTCCTTCTGGTAGTATTTTTTATTGTTCTGCAATTGCTGGGAACAAAAAATAGACAAGCTGTGAAAGGGAGGGGAAAAAAGGTAACCTCAAATTGCAGAAGAAGTTTTTCCAGCTCATTCCAAAGAAATAAGAAACATTGCAGATTAAGTGTATTTAACAGAAGTTATGAGTCTAGGAAAGATTTTCCTCTCAGGTAATACTTTTGTGCATTCGTTGTTCTCAGCTCGATATGGAAAGGGGAATGGTTGAGCAAGTATTAACCAGGAAATGGGGGTTGCCTTCCAGTGCTTATTGTTAAAATTGTATTTTTGGCATTTTGAATAACCTTTAAATGCAGGCTAAAACCATGTATTTCAAGAAAATAGAATGACAAGCGACTGTACAAGGCTTCCCACAGGAACTTCTTTATTTTGGGGGTTGAGCTTAAGGACACACGTGGTGACCAGATCAGCTCCCAGGGAATACAGCAGATTTTCCTGCTGGAAGGTACCAATGCAAAGGATCCCTGGTTTGTTTTGTAGCAGCTTTATTTGGGTTACTGGCGTGTAAATTGTTGTCTGGTTGATGCCCAGCCAAGTGCACACACCTTGCATTGCATTTCTCACCTTTCTTCCCCTGGGTCAGTGCTACTCTCACACCTCCCTGTCTGGAGGTGCTCTAAGGTAGATTTGGGGGGTTTCCTTTTTCTTTGGGAAGGCAACAACCACGGGCTGACCCTAAGCCTTGACTGAATGGACACTCCAAGTGCCTGTCCAAGCTGTTGCTGAGAACCTGACTGTATTTATTCCCCCTCTTCATCCACGTGCAGGCACCTCTCCCCATTTTTCTCCTCCCATCCCTCAGATTTCTGTCCAGATTTTTAGGTACTTGCCCCATCACCCCCCAAACAAACACACTTTCCTTCCCACCAGCCTTTCTTCTGTGTCCTCCAACCATCAGTACCTTCCCCAATATATCCTTTATTCCCCCAGTTCTCCCAAAGTAGTTCCTTCCCTTCACTTCTGCTTTTGGGGGGCAGATCACTCCCATTTTAAACCCAGCAATGACTGTCTTTGCTGGGAACAGTTTTACTTGCCAGAGTTCAGGCTGGGCAGAATTGTCACCACTGGTTCCTGTCCTGGCATGAATGGGAGATGATTCCTTCCAGATAATTTATTTTAAAGCAGAACTCAAGAGAGGCCTTAAAGCCTTGTAAATATTGCAAAGCCTTCAATAAAAACGGCACAGCTGGCAAACTGTGACTCCCTGGGAGCCAAAAGTGTCTCTATTTGGCCCTTGTGCAAGAAGAGCAGCATTTTCCAGTGAAGAGGTTAAGCCCTTTCCTCTCCAGTTGGAAGGAGAACGATAAGAGCCCTCTGATACTCTCTAGGATTAAGGTATTTACACTGGGGTTAGACCTGTGCTGGTTAAACTCATACCTTTCTTGGGTAAATGCCTGCTAATCCTGCCTGCTGCAAGGCTGCAGCACTGGCTGTGGATGTCTGAGTTCCCAGAGGGGCACAGACACTTGTGTATCTCCATTTGGAGCTGGTTTAAGGAACAGCCAAAGTCAGGAAAAAACCTTCCCCAGGCTGATTTGCCTGCTATTTGAGCAGGCTGCAGCCTCAGCACTATCACTTGGCAGGCACTGCTGTCCTGGAGGGAGACATGAATAAAGGATGAAGCCATTAAAATGATGAGCAGCCCCTTTTTGATTTAACCAAAGACCTCGTCACACTTTCCCCAGCCCGGGGCTTGTGTTTCCACTCAGCTCCACCACAAAATCCGCCCTGTGCTCCTCTGGTTCTCCCAGGTCAGGCTGCAGGGGGGTAACTCCATCCCCAGGCACTCTGGAATACCAGGAAAAACACACCCTGCCTTAATGCAGAGGTTTTGTGGTCCCCTAATGAATGGCAGAGGCTGAGATAAGTAAAAGCCAAACAGTGAATTACAGAGTGCTCCCCACTAACTCACTGCATTTAATCTGCCCACAGACCTTCTCTGATAGCAGGAGAGGAGCAGCAGCACGAAGAGTGTTACAGGATAATGCCATTCCAGATGCATAATTTATAAAGGAAAACATAGGAGGGAAAGGAGAAAAAAAAAAAAAAAAAAAGAGGCACCTTAAACCAACTGCTCAGGAAATCAGACACGAGACTCCCCCGTGCCACAGATACCTCTGTGAGGGAATCTCATTGGCATTAATTTGGAGTGTGGAGCACAGGGAACAGCCCAAAGCTCCACCTCTCCAGCAGCTTTACCACCCAAACTACTTGTACCAATAACTAAAGAGAGCGGCAGATCAGCTCACAAACTTCTGAGGCTAAAAAATATCTGTGTTTTAAATGGGTTTTGTCCTTCTACTTCCATTTTTTTAAGCATTTTTTTATATTACTGCTGTCATTCTGAGTTGGAAGAGTCCCGAGTTATTCACTCATCATTCCCCAACGTTCCAGAGCAGGAGATAATTTGCTTTTATGCCGTTTTAACTGAACACTCTCTGTCTATAAATTCGGATTTAACCATGCAGTTGTGATGTGGAAATGCCTTTCTAGAGGCCATGGGACTGTTGCAGCCAGCTATGAGTGAAATGAAGAGAATTCACCTTCTCGAGAAGTTAAGCAACATTCAGGTTATTTTCAGCAATTCCACCTCCAAGCATAAAAAAAAAAAAAAAAAAAAAAAAAAAAAAAAAAAAAAAAAAAAAAAAAAAAAAAAAAAAAAAAAAAAAAAAAAAAAAAAAAAAAAAAAAAAAAAAAAAAAAAAAAAAAAAAAAAAAGAACCAAACCCAAGAAGAGAAACCTGTAAAGCAGCTTTTATTGTTTTAAGTGGCTGCCTGATTTTCTTGCTTGTTGATACATGCCTCTGATTAGGACAGCTGGAAAGATAAGTCATCATCAAAATGCCCCAAGTTTCATTTCAGAGCATGTCTAATCTCAAAAACTGCTTTATTGGTGACTTGGTGCTGGAGCCAGTTGAGAATTGGAACCTGAAGATGCCACTTTAATGTGGAATTTATGCTTTGAGCAGCTGGGATTTGGGGAATTCTGGTCATAGGACAGCTCTACAACTCTGACCCGTGGCCGGACAGCACCTGGTGGGAAATTCCTGTGGAAAGAAACATTCTTGTAGGGGGAACTGGGATAGACTGGTTTTCAGAGAATGCTTGAGAAACACCTGACACAGAAGGGGTTGGTTGACTTATACATACAGAGAAAAAGAGTTTCCAACATATATTCAAGTTTATCTGGAAGGGGGAAAAGCAGACCCTGGAAGTGGAGGTGGCTCTGGTGTTTGAATGTAAAGTAGGGACAAGGTAAGAAGAAAAACAAGCAAACAATCAATCCACCCCCAAAATGCAAATGTTTAATTGACTAGAAATGAGCCATTTGCTGAATAACTGCTGTGATAACACAGAAGCAGGAGTGGGTGGGTTCTGCAGCATCCCGAGGGATTCCTCTCATGCTGAAGCGTAAATAAAATCCTGCCACGAGCCCCTGAGGGGATTCCAGTCCAACCGCCCCCTGAGCACCCACACGTGGGCAGGTGCAACGAGGCAAAGGGCAGTAATTGTTTTTCAGTTGTCTGATATGTAAATAATTGCAGCTATTAGAAGAGGAATGGGTAGTCACCCCCTCGGGGATGGAAATAGAAACCCTTTCTGCCAGTTATTTATCTGTGGCTGTTCTTCGTGGTTTTATTGTGTTAAATGGGTTTGTTCTGCTCTTACTGAGAATATCCTGACTTATCCAAGGCACCAAATCCTGTCCCTCTTAGTTGCCAGTGTGATCCTGGGCTGAGCCTGCTGATTTTATGCAGACAGACATCTCCAAGTGCAAATAGCACCACAAAGGGATTCCCATTCCCAGTCCCTCCTTCATTCCCTTTAATGTTTCAGTCAGGGAGCACCAAGCACAGAGCAGAAGGAATGAAACCCAGGTCCTGTGGACCAGCAGTGGGGAAGAAATCTCGCTGAGGCAGCAGTTAGTGCAGGGAATCCCAGGGACACACTCAGCCTGTTCCTCTGTTGCATCCCCATGGCTCCAATTCCTCAGCTCGGCCTGGAAAGCTGCCTGAGAAGCAGAAACCCCTCAGGTTACTGCAGTACTTCCCCATGGAGCTTTAAATGTCCCCTCGAGCTTGTTTTCACAGGGAGGAAACCCCAGGCAGAGGATGTGAGTGAGAAGAGCAGCAGCAATCCCAGCCCAGCTCCCGCTGAGGAGGCACCATCAAAAATGCCTCGACACACAGACTGCCGTAAATAATCACAGTTTATTTACACCCCACCTGCAATTCTGCAGTGCCAGAGCAGCAGTGAGGCAATCTCTGGTTCCTCTCCCTCAGCTTGCATCCTCCTGAGGCAGCCCCTCAGCACCCTGGGCCGTGCATTCCTGCCAGCTCCTGCGCTCCGGGAGATGTCGAAGCTCCCACACCTGTCCCGTGCAAGAGCAGGATAAAGCTCTGAGCTGGGGAAGTTTTATTGCTCCTCATGACTCAGACACTCTGCATGGGGGTGAACACGGTTTGACTGCTCCTGGGGGGTTTTCTGGACAAGAAAAAAAAAAAAAAAGTCTTCCAGGAGTGGAAAAATACTTTAAGAGTGGAAAGGGGGAGGCAGAAAAGCATTCTCAGCCCCATTTCTGCTCTCCCTTGCGAAGGAAAAGGAACTCCAGCATCTTCCTGATCTTTAAACACCAGCCCTCCTTCCTGCTGCCCTCAGTGGGAGCACAGAGAAGCTATTTGGGTTCTTTTAGATGTTACATAATGCACACAGTGCCTTTTTGCTGTTGGGGAAGGCTTCCTTTTACCTCCGGTGACGCCAAACAAGGCAGCGAAACATTCCCAGGGTGGCAAAGCCACACCTGCACAAAGTCTGGCCCAACTTCCTCGTGTCCAGCTCTGACCCCAAACCTCCCCCTCGTGTGCTGCCACGTCCCTGCTCCTCCAGCAGCTCTTCTGGGCTCCCCAGCAATGGTTTGGTGCTGTAATTCAGCCCCACCTCTATTTGGAACAGGGATTCTTGTCAGCCTGGGTGGAAGTATTTCCCGATAAACAGTGGAAGGCAAATACTTAAATATTTTTTTGTTGAAATTGCAGATTGGCTCCTTCAGCTGAGTTGAGCACGTGGATGGGGTGTATTACGGCCCACAGTGATGTGGGGAGGTCGTTTTAAATGTGACATAGAAAAATGTTGACCCCAACCATCCACTAACAGAGCAGAGGTTGAGAGCAGTTAAAGTTTAGACTGATTTCATGCCTTCCCCACCCCTGAAAGCTGTAGGCTGCTCCTAGCAAAGCCACATTACTGAATAAATCAACTCCCCCTAACTATGCAGCCTGGCTGATTTATCAGTCCACTCTCCTGCCTCTACTCAGGCAGAGGAAGGAGGAGATGCAGCTTCTCTGCAACAACAACAGCCTTGGAGCAGCTCTGTCCCATTTTCCTCCAAGGCCAAATTAATTTTTCAACAATTTTTCCGGTCTTTCCTCCTCTGAAGTTTCCTCAGTCATTTCCTTACATAACCAGCTGCTCCTCACAGTCTGTGTACAAATCCCTTCCTTTCCAGCTTCCTCTGGGATGAGCACGTTTTGGGACAGGACAGGACTTGCACCTTGGAGCAGAACTGGTGAGCAGCTCTGCCAGGGCACACAGGTCAGCTGGAAATCCCAGGAAAAGCTTTCCCTGTATTTTCAGGGTAAGCACAGTTTAGGACAGACACGGTTTTGAACTTAACTGGTTCCCAAACAAAACCTCAAATTTGTAACTGGAGACCAGCACCAGGTTTAATTTGAAAATACTTAAAAATTGAGAGTTCTCAAGGAACTGTTCCAGGAGTATCTCAGAGGGGGGTTGGTGAGGTTTTGCCTTTCCTCTTGGTGACAAGCCTTAATTCCTGTGAGACTTGTGAGATTTGGGACAGCATCTACATCCTTCAAGAGGCCTTTAAAGATCCTGAAGTTCAGAAGGTTGTGCAAACACATCACTCTCCAGACAAAATAGCTGAGATGTTTGGGGCCTAAAAAAAAGAGATTGACTTCCGACTGTAGTTCTTATTTTATTCAGACTGCTTTGCTCTGCTCTGAGTCATTTCTGAAGCAGCTGAGAAGAACAGCTGCTCTGGGGTTATATGTAATATGAGAAGGTGAATATTGCCATAGTTATGACAGGTATTAGTGGGAAACAGGGACCAAACTCTTGTGCAAGTGCATCTCCTTTGAGATCTCCTGGAGGGAAGCAGAGTTGCACCACACCACCCACTGGCCCGAGAGGGGAAAAGAAAAAACGAAGTGAGATCCTTGCAACAGATAAGAGGGGGAAAAAGGGAGACTCACATTTTTCACAGAAGCTGATTTAACCCCATGGGTGCAGTAAGAGGAACAGCCTCCCTTGCAGGCCATTTCATCCCAAAGTACAGGCTTCATGCAGAGCTTCCCTGCTTTTCCCCACCAAACTTGCAGCATCTAGAAATCAATCCAAGGACTTGGGGAATTGCTCTCAAGACATAGTTGTTTGTACCATACTCATGATATCCATGAGAAGAAGATAAAAAAGCATCTCAATCCCTAAAGCATCACAATCCACAGACCACAAAGTACCTTGTGCTGACTAAGCAGAGCATTTATTGCAGGGATTCTCTTCCCTAATATTCCAACAGGGGGGTAGGTCTTACACCTGCTTGCCACTGAAGGATTCCTGGGAGCCACCAGCAACTCTAAGGAAACCAAAGAGCAAAGAGCTGCCAGCAGTGAGTGTTTCCCCCACGCTGGTCCGAGCAGCACAGTCACCTGCCCTCCTCCATCACCTGTTCCCACCTCCGTGTTTCTGGGTGTCTGGTTTTCAGTAACCTCCTGCTAAGGCAAAAACCATCCTCCCACAGCTGCACCAGCCACAACACAGGAACCCCCCGACTGCAGCAACAAGTCACAGGATCACAGAATGGTCTGGGCTCCAAGGCACCTCGAAGCTCACCTCGTTCCAGCGAGCAGGGAGCATTTTAAACCCGGAGGGACCTTGCTGGAGGCTGCAGGTCCGTCTGGAACGCCACCACCACCACCCTGCAGGCAGCACAGCAGAGCAAACCCCCCTGAGGCTTCACCCCTGCTGCGGGGCCTTCCCCCCGCGCTCCTTACCGAGCCTGTGGAGACCCTCCGGGCCAAGGTCACCGGCCCCGGGGTGCGGGGATGCTGCGGGACGCGCCCCCGCCGCGATGCCCTTGGGCGAGAGGGGGCTGAGCGCGGGCACCGGGCCGTGCGGGGCTCCCGGTGCGGGGCCAGCGGGCTGCGGGAGCACCGGGGCTCCGGGCTGCGGGCGCTCCGGGCTGCGGGCGCTCCGGGGCCCCGCGCCGCGCTCACCTCCGGCCCCGCACCCCGCGGCTCCCCGGCCCGGCGCTGCTTAAATACCCCCGTTTCTCCCTCCCTCTCTCCCTCCCTCCTCACCTCCATCCCTCCCCTCGTTCCCTCCCTACCTGCCGGCCCCGCTCGGCTCCTCTCGGCCGCGGCCCCGGGGCCGGTCCCGCCCCGCCCGCTGCCGCAGCCGCTGCGCTGGGGCTTGCGGCGTTCGGGGGGGTGGGAGGAGCGGGGCCGGGCCTGGGGAGAGCCGTGGGATGGAGCCGGCTGGCACCTCCGGCACGCAAGCTGTTTCCCCGGAGCGCGGTGTTTCCCCGGCCCCGGCGGCTTTTCCAAGCGCCGGCGGGATGCGGGATGCGGGATGCGGGATGCGGGGAGCGCGCACCGGCTGCGCCAAAGCTGCCCCGCACAGGCACCGGCAGCCCTTCACATCGCACCCAGACGTCGGAATATAGATGTTTAGAGTGCAGTTTACAGCACAGCGAAGGGCTGCCCGGGGGCCGCAGGTGCCTGGGAACATCCCGGCTCCAAAGGGAGGGGTGGGAAGGACCCGAGCGAGGTGCTGCAGCACGGCTGGGAGACACCAGTGGCGTGGAGACAGGGGAAGCGGGGGTGATAGCAGCGTTTAGCAGGTGTTCCCGGAAAAGAGAGATATGGATGGGCAAGTACTTACAAGACTTTGATCTGAAATCCTGTGGAATAAATTATGATAACCATGAGGCTCAGTTTTCTGTTGTTTATTCTGTCCCAGAGATAAAAAAACAGGATTTAATGTCCTACTCGCTACCAAACAACTACTTAGGATCTTAAATTTGCAGTAGGAGTGAGAAATAAAAGCAACAAATACTTTATTCAGTTTTCCCCTGGGGCTGGACTAAATGATGCTCGTGGGTCCCTTCCAACTCAGTATATTCTGTGATTCTGGGTGAATTCCAGGTACAATCTCATTCAGTAAGCAAAGTCCCCCCAGTGGCACCTGGGGGCACCTCCCCCACAGTGGGGCCACCGTGTCCCTGTTCTGGCACCTAGGGATGAATCCTGACCACAAAAAGCCATAAAGGAATGCAAACTGTTTCAAAGGACCAGATGTAACTGCTGGTATTAAAGCTGTTCTTTTAATATTTGAACACGTTTTTAATGACGCTTTAAAAATGCTCTTTCCTCAGTTAATACCTTTAAAAGGCACTGCACAAACAGAGCTGCTCAGGCAACAAAGGGGTGATCAGAATGTGATGTTTCCTTCCCAGCTGGTGCAGTGAGATCAGAGCCTTCTTCTGCTATTTTTATGGATGTTGACCGTGCAACTGATGCTTGCTTAGTCTTCGATCTTAAAAAAATACTTATGCAGGGGCTTTGTTTTAAACTTTCAGATAGCTGTGTCCCTTCCTTGCTTGCAAAAGCACTCTGGGTGATCGGGGCACCTGCTCCACACAACAGGTTTAGCCCTGGGTGTTTTGGGGGACTGCTTGGGGTGATTTTCAAAGAGGTTTTCAGCTGGTTTAGAGGAAGGTTCGATGTGTCTGTAAATGTTTCACACTTACCTTTAGACACACAGTGTCTTATCAAAAGGAGAAGGATTTGCCTCACGATGAATGACAGATTTGCTGATAATCAACTGTTGTTTGCCTTAAGACCAGACAGGGCTGCAGGGGCCCTGCCAAGCGCTCCCAAAGGGAAGAACCTCACCAAGTCAGGGCTGGCTGAATTCAGGATTAATAACTCTTTTATGAGAAGTAGGACAGGGTTTAATCTAAAGGAGGCTGTGGTTTGATTTATCATCCATTGCTGCTGAGACAGGGAAGGCTTTTTCCCTTCACCCACTGTTTCCTCCAGAGCCTCCTGCTCCTCCCTGACTCAGGAGAAGCCTCCTGGCTTGCCCTTGGAAGAAATGAAAAGCAAACCAATGAAAGGGGAACAAAAAGAGGAAATAAAAAATCAACTTTTCTATGGGAGCAGCCAGGGTTTGAAAGGGAGAGGCTTTATGTGGTCAGTGAAACACATTTAAAACCACATCTAACCCTCACATTTACCAGCTGCAAGATGGCCCGTGGAGCTCCTTCTGCCCTGAGCAAAGGAGCCAAAAATCCTCCCAGTGCCTTAAAATCAGGCCTGTACCATAAAAGAAGAGTGTAACCCCTAAGCAAGGTCTTGGGGTTCCCAGCCTCCTGCCCCAAACCTTCTGGAAGCTCAGCCTTCTCCCAGAATGCTTGTCATGGGTAAAAATCAGCCCAGAGTTGTCACCTTAACAAAGTAGATAACAATAAAGGAGTTTGTTTCCTTGTCTCCCCAGGGGCTGCTGCTCTGGAAGATCTTCTCCCTTCCTTGTTTGACCACTGGGGATTTGTGTTAATGATTACTGGGGATTGGAACCCTGGCTTTTTGCTCCTGCAGGAAACATCCAGCTCACCCCTTGAGATGGGGAATAAAATCCCACACCTGCCAGAAAGGCTGTCAGAGCATTTCTACAGCCCAAACTGTAATTTATAATATTTTATGAGCCTTTAGGCTCTTGTCACACCCTTACTGCAGAAACACTGGCCAACAGGCAGGGTTCTTCCAGCCCGGATCACCAGGGGCTGGGTTGGATATCAGGGCTTTGGATGTCAAATATTGACTAAGTCATGTCAAGGTGCCACTGTGATGCTTTTAGTGGCTCCTTTTCCTGGTCTGCACCTGTCTGCTGCAGGTGGGAGATCTGAAACTTCACCTCCTTTCATGTAGTCTCATTTTGGGTAAGTTTATTTGAGCTTTAAGAGCAGGAGGAAAATAACTGCAGGGTCCTCTGGAGGCCTGATTACCTCAAACCATGGAATCACTCAATGGTTTGGGTTGGAAGGACTTTAAAGATCATCTCATTCCACCCCCTGCCATGGGCAGGGACACCTTCCACCAGCCCAGGGTGCTCCAACCTGGCCTTGGACACTTCCAGGGATCCAGGGGCAGCCACAGCTTCTCTGGGCAACCTGTGCCAGGGCCTGCCCACCCTCCCAGGGAAGGATTTATTCCCAATCTCCAGTCTGAACCTGCAACCTGAGCTGACCTGAGGATGTTCCTCCAAACCCAGCAGAACAACAGACAGAACTCTTTTCATTTTTCATTTTCTGGATGTATTTTCCAGCTCTTGTCTACCTAGTCAGGCTGCCTCTATTAATGGAAGGGAAACTCCAGACTAAGCGTGGATTTTGTCCGAGTTTGCAGAATATTCCTGTAAAAGACTGGGCAGGGGAGATGCCGTGGCTAAACCCCAGATTATTGTGTTCCTAATTGTGCTCCTGACTAATTTGGTGTTACTCCTCTCACCCAACCTGACAAATTAGAGGACAACCTTTTATCTAATGACAGGGAAGATAGGACAAAGCAATCACCTCTCTGGGGGATATGACAACTGTTTGAGGGTGATTATCTCTCCAAGTGATGACACCACAGCGCTCTGCAGCTCCTGTTTTGGGGCTTAGTGCCCCTTCAAAGGTGGAAAAGCTGGGTGGGACACTGGTGGCCAGGTCTGATCCTGTCTCCTGGTGTGGTTTCTATTGGAATTTTTTTCAGTTTCTCCGCTCTGAGAAATTCTGTTGCACAGGAAACTTCTTATATATAAATACGTATCTCATATAGTGAATTGGTGATTATTTATAAGCAGCCTTGTCCTCATAAACCTCAGTATTAACCGGTGTTCTGGGGTAACTCTGCCAGCAGCCAGCTAGAGGAGGAGCTGGGTGGCATTCTGGCATCAGGGACAGGTAATTAGAAGGTAAAGGATTAATCAAGAACAAGGGCCGGGCAGGATCTACAATCCCTCGTGAGTCACATCTTCACATCCCTCTCAGCTCCTTGGCCAACAGTAAATTGCTACAGCCACTTTATTGCTCTGTGTAAGCAAGTGTGGGACCTCCTGTTGGGATTGTAATCTTGTTATTGAGCCGGAGATCTGAACGTGTCCACACTCACACCCTCCCCAGGGTAAATCCCCAGCCCATGGCCGTGGCAGGGAGTGCCTGGTTTGCTCCTGTAACCGATCCCAAAGTGTTTTAGAACAAAAAGAAGGTGCTTGGCAAGTTTAAAGTTTCCCTGTGGAGAAACCAGCCTTGTTTTGGGGTGGTCTGGAAGGAACAACCCATTGAGCAGCAGTTTGGAGTTGCTGGAGAAGTTTTTCACCTGGACAAAGCCCACCTCTGTCATCAGTCCTACTCATTCTAATACCAATTTGCCATGGGAAATTTTCTTAAAATGAGCAATTCTTACCAATATCTGGGTTTTTTTTGTTTTGTTTTGTTTTTTCCTTAAATAAGCTGACCATATGGGTTCGGTGTTTGTTACTGCTCTCAATGGAAACAAGTTTGAACAGTGCAGGTCTCACAAACACCTGATTTTTCATGTTTTATTTGTTCATCTCATGCACACAGTGTTGATAAAATTCCGTTTTGGAGGCTGTTGATAAGTTATCCAGGGAAAAATGTTTGTTTTATCCTGTTGTGCTTGTCCTGGATGGATCAGGATGCAGGGCATGATGCGTGAGGGGATGATCAAGGCTCAGGACTGGGATGTTTGGACAAGGCTCTCAGTGGAATTATTGGGGTTCCCCTGTGCAGGGCCAGGAGTTGGACTGGATGATCCTTGTGGGTCCTTTCCAACTCAGGATATTCTGGGATTGCGTGATTGTGCTGTAAAGCCATCCCCGGCAGGGATTTTGGGAGCTCCTGGAGTGCCCTCTTGTGCTGAGCCTCAGCCTGAAACTGCAGCTCTCCACGTTTTCTGGAACCTCTGGCGTCCCTTCCAACTCAGGATATTCTGTGATTCTACTCAGAAGGCCTAAAAAATACCGTGTATTT